CACACACACACACACACACACACACACACACACGCGCACACACACGCACACACATACACCACACGCATGCACACACGTGCGCGCACACATGCACGCACCCACCCACACATACCTCTGTCCCAGCATTAACCAGTCCTCCTAACTGCTGAACGTCGGCCCTCACTGCAACCTCAGCAACATCCACACTTGCCCCTCCTGGGGGGGGCCCGGCTTCCAGAACCCCAGGCCTGTCCTGCACCTCTCTTTCCCTCCTCTGGTGGAATTTGCACCTTGTAAACACCCCTTCTCTGCCACCACAGCACCTCCCTGACCGAGGCCACCATCATACAGCCTCGTGGCCACCCTGCAATGATAACCAGAGGCGTCAGCTAAGCTCCTTCATGGCTCCCCGGTGCCCCCGGGAGGAGGCCATTGAACGTGTCCTCCCCAGCTTCCCTCCTGTGCTGCCGACAGTGTCCTCAACAGCCCAGGACGGAAACTGTTCGGGCAAGCCGAGCTCTGATCCATGCCGGGGACACAGCAGTGACCAGGCTCTCGTGGTCACCGGGACTCTGCCCCCTGGTTCCAGATCTGGCTCTCCTGAAGCCCTTGTGGATGGGACAAAAGCAGCCTTTGGTTCCTCTACATGTACCTTGACCCCGATTCTTAAGACTTCTGGAATTTCCTGAGTGACAGATAGCATCTGTCATGGACTTCCGAAGCCCTGTGGATTCCTGAGGGACGGGAACACCTTGTGCTGTCCCGGGTGACTCACAGTGGCTCCTGTTTGGCCCAGAACAGATATTGGTACACAGAGGGCCCAAGCTCACAATTCAGGATTGGGACTGTCTGCCCAACCCCCACCTCCACCAAAGGCTGAGGGTTCACCAATACCTAGGGATGGCACCAATGCCAGCCTATGATGTAATCTAGCATAACCCAAAAGGACCAAGTTCAAGAGCTTCCCTGTGGCTGGGTGCATGGGAGGTCCCAGAGGGCGGGAGTGTGGAGGAGAGTGTGGAGGCTGCAGGCAATGTCCCTCCTATGCCATGACACCCCAGGCATTAAATGCATGGACAGATGAATGAATGAACATACAAAGGAATGAATGAATGCACGAGGTAATTAAGCTACCACAGAAATCAAAATCCTTCATTATACAGCCGGGTGGTGGTGGCGCACACCTTTAATCCCAGCTCCCAGGAGACAGAGTTTGAGGTCATCCTGGTCTAAAGAGTGAGTTCCAGGACAGCCGGGGCTACATAGTGAGAACCCTTCTCTAAATAAATAAATAAATAATTGTGGGGCTCATTGGTAAAGTGGTAACATCAGTAAAACACAGCCCTGAGTGGGGATCCCCAGCACCCACATCAACAGCTCCTCCTCTGCCTGGGCAGCAGTTCACTGAGTGTTCTCCCTGGGGACAGGAGCAGAGTGACAGCCCTAGCGGGAAGGGCCGGGCCACTCCCAACCCACGAGCCATCGCTGAATACGTGAATGGTGGGGAAGGTATATAAAGAATGGATGAACGCATGAATGAAGGAATGAATGATGGGATGTATATACGAATGAAGGAACAAATGAATACATACAGGAATTTATGCACCAATAAAGGAATAAGTGAACGCATGAATGATGGAACGTATATATCAATGAATGAATACAGGAAGGGATTAACACATGAAGTGATGAATGAAGGAATGAACAAACTACTTCTGAGAACAAAGTGTGTGAACCTCAGACCTCCTTCCACTGATCCCAACACTAATATCTGTAACAGGGTTTCCCACCAGAGCCCCCCCTCCCCCGCCCCCTCCATCTCCCCGCTCACCTGCCGGGGGCTCACGAGGATGCTACTGGATTTCGCTCCTGTTTTCAGGGTCTGGCTGGGGTTCTCTCCCTTCACAGGTTCAGAACCTGTGGACCCTGTGGCCCCAGCGCCTCCTGGAGGCTGGGCAATGGCGTACTCAGCATATGACTGAGGGGCCGCCTGGGCTGGGGTTGCCGTGGTGGGGTTCCGTGAAGATCTGAACAAGGGCTTGGCCTGTGGAGAGAAAGGAAGGATGGGGTTGTGAAGGAACACTAGGACCCTCGACCTCCCCAGACTCTCGTCCTTCTTCCTGACGCTTTCCAGGGCCAAGAACTCAAAACGGCAGCTGGGTTCTGGCTCGGTTGGTGCAGTGCATGTCTAAGCATGCGCAAAGCTCTGCGTGGGCCAGGCAGCGTGATGTACACGTGTCCTTCCAGCCCTGGGAGGCAGAGGCAGGAGGATCAGAACTCCAAGTCATACTCACTTACATAGTAAGTCTAAGGCCAGCCTGGGCTACCTGAGACCCTGCCTAAAAGAAAAATAAAACCGAACCGTGAGGCCTAGATCTGTGCATCCCTTCCTCGGGAAGCACACCTGTGTGAACTGCCCCCCACCCCACCTCCAGGCCTTTGCAGAGGCTTCCCCTCCACTCAGTGGTCCTCATGGCCCATTCCCTCACCTCTCCTCACGGCCAGATTCTTCACTTTACCCAAAGACATCAGAAATGAAGTTTTGCCAGAATTTTTTTTTTTTTAAAAAAACAAGGTCTCTCTGTGTAGCCCTGACTGGCTTTTCAGCCCAGGCTGGCCTTAAACTCAGAGATCTGCCTGTCTCTGCCTCCGGAGTGCACCGCCACACCTGGCTTGTTTTGCTTTGTTTTTGAATCAGGGTCACACACTTACAGCTCAGGCTAGCCTGGAACTTGTGCTGGTCCTCCTGCCTCAGTCTCCCCAGTTCTGGGATTACAGGAACTTACTACCATGTCTGACTCAGATTTATTTCTTTTTTCTTAAGATTGACTTATTTTTATTTGTGTATGTATCTTTATATGTATGCCGTATATGTGCAGGTGTGGGTGCCCGGAGAAGCCAGGAGAAGGTGTCAGATCCCTGAAGCTGGACTTACAGGCAGTTGTGAGTTGCCTGACATGAATGTGTGAACGAAACTTAGGTCTCCTGGAAGAGCGGAAAATCCAATGTTTTTTGTAGTTGTTGTTTTGTTTTTAAAGATAGCAGCAAGTGCCCGTAATGGGTGAGTTGTCTCACCAGCTTCCACATTTCCTTTGAAATTTGTTTGTTTTGTTTTTGAGACAAGGTTTCTCTGTGTAGCCCTGGCTGTCCTGGGACTCACTCTGTAGACCAGGCTGGCCTCGAACTCACAGAGATCCACCTGACTCTGCCTCCTCTGCTGAGATTAAAGGCATGCGCCAACATCGCCTGGCTTCTTTTTTAAATTTATAGGTTTATTTTTATTTTATTTGTATTGAGTGTTTTGCCTTCGTGGATATACATGCACCATGTACATTCCTGGTGCCTTCAGCATTCAGAAGAGGGTGTTGGATCCCCTAGAACTGGAGTAATAGATGGTTGTGAGCTGCCATGTGGGTGCTGGGAACTGAACCTGCATCCTCTGCAAGAGCAGCCAGTGCATTTAACTACTGAGCCACCTCTCCGGGACCCTGATTTCCCTTTCTTTTCTTTTTTTTTTTTTTTTTTTTTTTTTTTTTTTTGGTTTTTTTCGAGACAGGGTTTCTCTGTGTAGCTTTGGCTGTCCTGGAACTCTTCTCTGTAGACCAGGCTGGCCTCGAACTCACAGAGATCCGCCTGCCTCTGCCTCCCGAGTGCTGGGACTAAAAGGCATGTGCTACCTCCGCCCGGCTCTGATTTCCCTTTCTTAAAGTATAAAAGTTCAATTCTTAAACATCAGCTCTGGGGCCCGGGAGATGGCTCAGCGGACAGCAGCACCTGACCACCTAAGCTCGATGCCTGAGAGCTATGTGATAGGAGGAAAGAACTGACTCCCAAAAGCTGTACCTTGACCTCCACGTAAGTGCCATGGCAAGCATACCCTGACACACAGAGACATAAATAAATGGAAACACAAAACAACAAAAAATGTGAGATCCAAATTCATATCTTGAAAGTCAAAAAAAAAAAAAGAAAGAAAGAAAGAAAAGAAAGAAAACCCAGAATACTGGTCATACACAAAACCCAGCAGAGATTACTGTGTTGATTACACCTGTAATGCCCTAGCATGTGGGAGATGGAGGCAGGAGTATTGTTGCAAGTTCTAGGTCAGCCAGGCCCACCATAGCAATGCTCAGGAAGAAAGGAACAAAGGAAGGAAGAGAGAAAGGCTGGCAAGATGGCTGGATGGGTAAAGGCGCTTGCCACCAAACTTCATGACCTCTGTTCAGTCCCCAGGACCCAAACAGTATGACGAGAAAACCGACTCCCGTAAGTTATCTATTTCACCTTCTTCACAGGAGCCCCATAGCACACACCCTCACTTACATACACACCATAAAGAAATGTTTTAGGGGCTGCAGAAATGGCTTGGCAGTTCACGTCACTGGCTGCCCTTCAAGAGGATCTGGGTTCCATTCCCAGCTCGAATATGGTAGCTCAAAATACTTGTCTCTCCAGTTCCAGGGCATCCAATGCCCCCCTCTGGCCTCTGCAGGTACATGCATGTAGTACTCAGACATACTGCATGGAAACTACACACATATAAAATAAAATAATGAATGTTTTTTAAAAACCAGGATGGGCCGGGCAGTGGTGGCGCACGCCTTTAATCCCAGCACCCGGGAGGCAGAGCAGGCGGATCTCTGTGAGTTGAAGGCCAGCCTGGGCTACAGAGTAAGTTCCAGGAAAGACGCCAAAGCTACACAGAGAAACCCTGTCTCGAAAAACCAAAAACCAACCAAACACATAACCAAAAAAAACCAAGATGGCCCATTACTGTAATCCCAGCACTTGGGAGGGATAGGCGGGAGGAACAGAGTTCAAGGCCAACCTCAACTACATATCAATTTCAAGGATAGCCCAGGAAACATGTGGCCCAATGTCAAAGACCAAAACCAACCAAACAAAACCACCACTGGCCAGCCTACAGCTTGTGACTTAGCCCTCTCTTTACCACCCTGCCGTCCCATTTTACAGCCGGGGAAACCGAGGCTTGTAGAAAACAGCAGGCAATTTTTTCCAAAGCAACTCAAACCTCACAAAGTTGGCTAAACTCACACCGCGATCTCGGAGCTCCCTTGCTGTCTCCTTCACTCCCAACAGCGCCCACGTCCTCGCCCTTACCCCTGCGGGAGGGGTCTCGTCTTCCTCCAGTGGGATCACAAACTTCTTCCTGGTGGGCGGCCCTGGGGGCTGCGGCCGACCTCCCTCGTCCTTCGCGGGGTCCATCGGGGGCCTGAGAGGCGTGGCGACATGGACGTTAGCATTTCCGGGGCCCAGAGGGAACCTCGGCTCCCAGAGGTGCCCCCCAAACGGTGCTGGGTTCCAGAAGCGTAAGCCCAACCCGTGAGCCCGCCCCTTCCAGCCTCCCCACTTCGGATTGGCCCATGGGCCCTGCAGCCCCGCCCACTGGCCGACTACCCCGCCCCACGCCCGCTCCGGGACAGTCGGCCCCGCCCCCAGGGGCCCACCTGGACGTGCTCGCCCCGCCCAGTCTCGGCCTTGTCTCATCCTCGGCAACGATTGGCCTCTTCCTCTGCCAGTCATCATCCCGCGACCCCCCCTCTCCGCCCGCCCCGCCCCTCTGCCCGGCCTCTGGACCCGAGCGCTGTCAAACTCACCTGGTCTTCCCCGAGCCCTACAGGAAGATGCCACAAAGGGAGTAGAGGCGACGCACCGCCAACGCGGCCAGCGCGACCCCTGGCTGGACTCACTTCCGGCCTCTCTGGCCCGCCGCTCGTCTCGCTGCTCCCTAGGAGAGTAGAGCGGGGAGGCGCCGTCTTCGCGCTGCTCTCTATGGTCCTGGAGGACCGTGGGAGGTTTCGGGCGCATAGAGGCGTGGACCTTGGCAACCCGGAGTCTTTGACGCCGAGGGGTCCTGTTACAATGCCCAGTGGAGCGCTTCCTGTGTTCCCAGATCCCGGACGGGGCTTAGTGAGGAGATCAAACGAGAGCGGGGGAGGGGAAGGGGAAAAGAGAGAGAAGAGGGAGGCGAGGTATAGAGGACGCCCTCCCCGTCCGTCGGGGTGGCTTGGTCTGAACCTCAGCCCACTGACGCTGACTCACGCATTGCAAGCCATTCCCCACCTGCGTGCTGAACAGCGGCTGCCAGCCACCGCTGTGGCTTCCCCAAGGCTTACAGTCCAGTGGGACCGGCAGACGTGTCCCCACCCCACCACAGGGGCCGCCGAGAGTGGGCAGGGCCGGCACGGGAGAGGGCAGAGGACGTGGAGACCTGGTTGGGGAGAGCACCTGACCCAGCCCGGGTGTCAGAACGGGCTTCCTGAAGGAAGGGACATCAGAGACCTGGGGCCCGGTGGATGACTTAGTATTACTCATTTCCTGAAAGGAGAATTTCACCCTGTTCCAACTTGTAGTTCTCTGATTGCTAAGGAAATAGGGCATCGTTTTGTGAATTTAATGGTCTTATATATTTTGTGTTCTTGCTCATTTCCTTTGCCCATTTTTTTTTTAAAGATTGGCTCATATCCTTTGCCCATTTTTTTTTTCAAAATGAGCAATTCAGTTCACCAGTTTTTAAAATTAAAAAGGGGGAGGCAAAGGAGATGAGCATCTTTTTATTACTGCCTATTTATTGGAGGGATGCTTGTGTCGAGTCTGTTAGTCACTTCCATAGATTGCTAATGTTTCCTCCTGGTTCATACTTTGGGAATTCTCCGGTTTTCTGTGTATTTACCAACGTGTTCTCCACATCCCTTTGGTCCTGGTGCTTTGAGGGAGGACTTACCCTAAGGTTACAATATGTAATCCGCTATGTATTTTTAACATTTTCCTTGTTATGGGGTATGGTGTGTGTGTGTGTGTGTGTGTGTGTGTGTGTGTGTACAAGCACATGCCTACACTGGGCATTCTAGCCAGGGGCCCTACCACTGAGCCTTGTCCCCACACCCTTGGAAATATGATACACAGCAGAACATATTAACAATTAATAGCTGAGCATGGTGGCGCACACCCTTAATCCCAAGCACTCAGGAGGCAGAGGCAGGCTGATCTCTGTGATTTCAAGGCCAGCCTGGTCTACAGAACAAGATCCAGGACAGCCAGAACTACAAAGTGAGACCCTGTCTCAACACGGGGGGGGGGGGGGGTTCGTAGTAAGTAGCCCTTGGCCCTACTTGTACAGGAAAAGAAAAGGGCTCAGTGGCCACCTAACCAGAGCGCCCTTCACAAGCCTGGCCTCCAGAGGGCGCGCCTGAACCGTGCGTTGTGTGAAGGAGACGCAGAAACCCAACTTTTGCAACGCGAGTCTCCCCTGCACTCCTTGGTTTCTCTACCTGGAGTCATTTGCTGAGGCTGGAAGGATACAGTAAGACGGCGGGGTGTGGTGGCAACCACCAGCACACCTTTAAACCCAGCCCCGAGGAAACTGAGGCAGGAGGGATGCCGCAAGTTCCAAACTAGCTTGTGCTACATAGTGACTTTCAGTCCAGCCTGTGCCACAAAGCAAGACCCTGAACAACAACTACAACAACAGACCCTGACGTACTGGCGTGCGCCTTCAATGCCGGCACTCGAGAGGCAGAGGCAGGCGGGTCTCTGTGAATGTGCAAGGCCAGTCTGGTCTACAACAGTGAGTTCCAGGTCAGCCAGGGATACAGAAGAGGACCAGGGACTGGAGAAATAGCTCAGCGGTTAAGAGCGTTGACTCCTCTCTCTTCCAGAGCATCCACAGGGTGGCTCACAGCCATCTCCCGTTCCAGGGGACCTCCACAGGCACCACCAGGCACACAAAACACTCATGCACATAAAACAAAATAGAATTCCATGCCATTTTGAAAATAAAGCACCAGGACACGTGTCTCTGAATCCAAACGAAGAGTCAGAGAGCGTGCCTGAGTTGTCAAGCCAAGTAGGCTCCTAACTCCGTTTCTCCCACGGAGGGGGAGTGGAGGGAATCCCAAGCCTTGAGCCTGCAACTCTCGGCTCTACCGCCCGGGGTCGCCGGCGGCCCGCTAGAGGATTCCCCCGCGGGTTGGGCTGGACCACGCGGAATGCTCAGGACCCAGCGAGAAGGCGATGCGCATCCCTACGGCAGCCAACCTGCGTCCCGGCCGCCCACGGCTGTGACTTGGAGTCGTTTGCATTAGTCAAGGGCGGGAAAAGTTGCTCTTAGTTCTTCATCATCCCTAAGTTTGCTTTCTGTGTTCAATTTCCGCACCGAGCCTTGCATGCCCCGATCCAGAACCTCCCCCTCCTGGGGCTTTGAGTTCAAATGATCCCACTTTCCTCACTCAGCTATCCCAGTCCAGCTCTCCTCCTGAGCTTCCACCTCCTGTATCAACTTGGGGGTCTCCTCTGGACTACAGAAGGGATGGAGAATTGGGGGTTTGGACCAAAAAGTAACTGGACAGCTGGAGACCCTCAAAAGTTCCGCCCTCGGCGGTGGGGAGGTGGGGGTGGGGGCGCGCGGTGACCAGGCCGGCGTCCCCACCCGCCTCTAAACTTAGCCGTGGTGACGGCGATCGCGGCGGGCTGGGGACGCAGGGGGCCCGAGCAGAGAGGGGGGCGGCTCGCCTAGGCTGTGAGAACCTCTATTTATAGCGCCCGGAGCCCGAAATAGCGTGGAGCAGAGCGGCCGGGATGACGCGGGAGCCGCCCGGGGCTGACTCACCCGGCCCGGAGTGGAGGCCCCGGGATGGGGGACAGTGGAATATGCCGGACCCGACCCCGTGCCTTCATGGACACCTCTTCTACTAGGCCATCCCAGTGTGTCCCCTGGGACAGGTGGATGGATAGATACACAGCAAAAGATGTCAGCAGCTTGGGACACTGCAGTTGGATTAGGGGTAGGACTTCCACCAAAGGAATCGGACGAGGTATGCACACCCGCTTCTCACCAGGAAGAGAGTACTGAAATGTTTTAGAGAGGGAGGCACGGACTCATTGACCACAGCCGGCCATCATTCCATAACGTGTCTCCTGTTCTCCCCCACCCCTCACCCCGTCTCTGCCTGGAATGCTTGTCCCTGCTTCCAAAAGACCTGAGAACTCATCCACTTACTTTAGAGCGCTGTCTGTCCCCCGTGACCTACTGGCCTGGGATAAATGAGTGGTACCCAGGGTAGCCAAGACGGAGCTAAATATAGATTCAATTTAGCTGATTAGCGTGGATTAAAAAGTGTTTGGCAAGAAGAGAAAATGGATCCAACAGCAGCTCGCTTTCTGTTCCGGAAGCAGGTGCTGCGGGCAGGTATGGCCTGGGAGCCTCGTTTCAGCCCCAGGAGGGGCGCGCTGCAGTGATTATTGGGGGAAGCCCAGCTAGGCTGACAGTGCCACACTGTGCCACCTACCCTGGGCCACCTGGGCAACCTGGTCCTCAGGTGATGCCGGCCCCAGCATCAGGGCCTTAGGGAGCCCAGGAGAGGTGTGGCGACCCCTCAGGGGCCCCCTGGCCTTTCAGGACATCGAAATGACTGCTGTAACCACACGTGGACACTGGGCAGATTTCATTGTATTCCCCGCCCCCCCCCCCCCCCCCCGCCCCCGAGTTTAATGGAGCCTGCAGGGAATCACAGAAGACCAGACAGGGAAGTAAATGTGAGGGAGAGGGGTGATGTCTCACTGAAGCCCCACTGGCAACTTGTAACAATTTAACAGTGCTAAAATGCGTGTGGAGGCCCAAACCCAGATGCCAGCCCTCCAGGGGCTGAAGCCAGAGGATGAAAGGTTCGAGGCCAGCTGGGCTACTCAGCAAGGCTCTGTCCTTATAAAGTGTAATAATGGCGGTAGACTAGCTCTGTTGGTAGGGCATTTGCCTATCATCGACAACATCCTGGGTTCGATGCCCCCATCACTGCATAAACCGTGCATGCTGGTTCAGGCCTGTTATCCCAGCACAAAAGAGGTGGAAGCTGAAAGATCAAGAGCCCAAGGTCACCTGGGGTCTGGGGCTACTCAGAGAGTTTGAAGCCAGCCTGAGCTACATGAAACTGTCTCAAAAATAGACAGGTAAATAAGGAAACAAGTAAAGAGTACTATGACCTTGGTTAGATCTATAGCGTGTTAAAAACATCAAAAACGGGCTAGAGAGATGGCTCAGTGGTTAAGAGTGCTGACTACTCTTCCAGAGGACCCGGGTTCAGTTCTCAGCACCCACAAGGCAGCTCACAACTGTCTGTAACTCCAGTTCCAGGGGACCCAGCACCAATGCACATAAAACATAAAAATGAGTTAATTAAAATATCAGAAACAGTGACGCCATCTTCATCTAACTTCTGAAGAATATTTAATTAATTAGAATTTAATTAATAAGAATTAAATATTCTGAAGAATATTAAACTGTACAACACAGGTTAACATGAAATTTGTTTACCATTATGATGTTAATGAGATTATACGTCCCTTAAATTTATCCACTTTCTTTCTTTATCTAGTTGAGACAGAGTCTCTCTATGTTGCCCAACCCAGCCTGGAACTCACTATATAACTCAGGTTAGCCTTGAATTCACAGAGATCCGCCGCTCTCTGCTGCCCAAGTGCTGGGATTAACGGTGTGAGCTGCGCACCATCACACCTGGCTCAATTTCTTTCTTTTTTTAATTCTTTTTCTTTCGTGTGTGTGTGTGTGTGTGTGTGTGTGTGTGTGTGTGTGTGTGTGCAAATGATACAGGGATGGAGGTCAGAGAACAAGTTTGTGGAGTCAGTTCTCACCTTCCATCTCTACACGGGTTCCAAGGGTAGAACCCAGGTTGCCTGGCTCGCATGGCGAACATCTTTGCCACTGGGACATTTTACTAATCCAGCTTCTCCTCTCTCCCTCCCTCGCTCACCCTCTCTCTCTCCCACTCTCTCTGCCCAGTGTCTAACATAAACCAGTCTAGCCTCAAACTTACTATGCAACTGAAGATGATTATCAACTCCTGATCCTCCCGCCTTCACTTCCCCAATGCTGGGAAGACATAATTCAACC